CCTGGAGGTGTTCACATAACCTGTAGATGTGGCACTTTAGGACACGGTTTAGCGGGCATGGTGGTGGTGTTGGGCTGACAGTTGGACTTGATGATCTTCGAGCCCGTCTCTTCCAACCTCAGTGATTCTCTGTGTGTCTCGCTCTGTTTCAGAACTTATCAGAGAAACTCAGTGAACAAGAAATGCAGTTCAGACGCCTTACTCAGGAACAGCTCGACAACTTCACGTTGGACATAAACACTGCCTATGCCAGGCTGAAAGGAATCGAGCAAGCAGTCGAGAGTGAGCACCGAAATCTTCTTTAAGGACTTAAAGTCACGATCCCCACAGGCCCATGACCCAAACTGGGCTGCCTAAACCCAGGCTTAGGCACGCAGCTCACAGGCCTGGGCTTTGCCCAGCAAATCCCAGCTGCACGAGGCCAAGGCCGTGTCTTGTTCCAACCCCAAATGGCGGAACAGACATGCTTTGAGATCAAGTGCTGAGGGGGCGGCAGCTTTTGAGAGCAGAGCGTTTAGAGGGATGGCTTTTGCTGCTGGTGTTCAAAACTCTTCCCATAGGTGTGGCCCCAACTGAGAGTCCCCTTCTCGGCTTATTTTGCAGGTCACGCAGTAGCGGAAGAGGAAGCCAGGAAGGCCCATCAGCTGTGGCTTTCTGTCGAAGCGCTCAAATACTGCCTGAAAACAGCCTCTGGGGACAGTCCCACCGAGCCGCTGGAGAGCGCGGTGAAGGCCATCAAAGCCAGCTGCTCCGACAACGCCTTCACAGAAGCCTTGACAGCAGCTCTCCCTCAGGAGTCCCTGACGCGGGGAGTGTACAGCGAAGAGGCCCTCCGAGCACGTTTCTACACAGTCCAAAAACTGGCCAAAAGAGTGGCTATGATCGACGAGACGAGAAACAGCTTGTATCAGTACTTCCTCTCTTACCTGCAGTCGCTGCTCGTGTTTCACCCGCAGCAGCTGAAGCCACCAGCCGAGCTCAGCCCCGACGACCTCGACACGTTTAAATTACTGTCTTACGCTTCGTACTGCATTGAGCACGGCGACCTGGAGCTGGCGGCGAAATTTGTCAACCAGTTAAGAGGAGAGTCGAGGAGAGTGGCGCACGACTGGCTGACCGAGGCTCGAACGACCCTAGAAACAAAACAAATTGTGGATATCTTGACAGCCTACGCCAGCGCCGTGGGGTTAGGGACCACGCAAGTGCCGTGAGCGCGGGCTGTCGGCTGGGAGGCAGCTCAGCGACCGTTGGTGCCGGGAGGAAATCCCGCCATCCCCCAAGGGTTGCAAACCAAGCTGTGGGCAGGGGCTGGAGGCGCGAAATCAAAGCACGGGTACCGTCTTGTTTCCTTGCACTGTGTTTAACCTCACCACCTGTTGTATTTGTATTGGGTTTGAGTTACCGTGACAAACAACTTCAGGAAGCTTCTCTACAATTTGTGTTAACGATTCTGTTTCCCCATCTTACCAAGCGGGCTTGTGATCCAACCAAAATAATGTTTGTAACCTACCATTAATGATTTGCCACTTTGTCAGCTCAATAAAACAAGACTTCAACCCCTTTCTCCTGCTGTTCCGTCTCCTATTTAAACGTCAGCTACAGCCGGGCAGTACAGGAACAGCCTTTCTCCGTGACCTGAGGAGGACAAAACTTCTGGTTTACTCCTTTCAAGGAGCAAGAATTCGTTGGTGTGATGAGTTCATTAATTTGTACAGCTGTAAAAAAGCCATGTAGGGGTTTCAGTAGAGGTAACTTCAGCTGGGGTCAGAGCACGTGCTCTGGTGGACTTGTACCCCTGCGTGTTCTTGTCAGACCTGCTCTTCTGTGGTTTGAGACCAGGTGTTTCTATCTAGAAGCCAGACTTGGCAACTCACAAAAAGACCAAGCTGCTGCTCTCTTACCTTTCCCTTAATTCTGACCATCAGCGGAGGCAGACTGCTCTGACACAGTACCCACCTGCTGAAGTGAGGAACCGTGGCTTTGGCTCCTGCTGACCCAGTTCTGAACTGTGGGTGCAGTGAAGCAGAGCCTAGCGCTGCCCCCGAAAGTTCCCCATCTTCCCTCTGCCCCTCAGCCCGCACTACACTCATCCTGGAACAGGCACTTTTGCTTTCTGGAGCAAACACTGCCCTCCAACAGCTCCCCTGCCCACCCAACCCCCTGACTTTTAGCCTTTTCGCTGCAGTTTGTCCTCCCTTTACCAGCTCGTTACGGACTTGCCCTCAAGCAGCTTTCCACAGCAGCGTGCTCCTGTCCTGCAGCGCCACGCACGTCAAGGTTCTAGTTTTCACAAAGACAATCATCTGTTAAAACTACTTTTCACTGGGATATGGCTTAATCCTCTCAGGAACAAGACCTTCTTTGCCTATCCAAGGTAACTACCTCAGAAAAAACCCCGTCCAGCTTCCTCTCCAAGCTGAGAGCAGCAGCACTGCTGTGAGGGCCCCTTAACTGCAAGGCAGGGAAGGGACCAGCGCAGTCCTCCCTCTTCCCACTCACCTCGTTAGCTTTATTGCTGCATTCTGCACGGACTTTACTTACTCTCTCACAGAGCAGCTGCAACACTTTGTAATCGACAGGTTTTGCTCAGGGATTACCAGAATACAGCCATATTCAGTGGCAGCTCTTTATTAGATGCTGTCTCCAGCTGGACAAATTGTAGCTTTTTAACATGTACAGTCCAACACGTGGCCCAAAACCCAAAAAGGATGAGGAGTAACACCATGGGTGACAAGTAGTGCATTAGTTACTGTGGTCACATACTGAGTAAACTTGATACTTAAGTAGTTCATTAAAGTTAGCTGGAAAGGAATTAAATCTGGCACAGGTTGAAGCCAGAGGAGGTCCAAGAGGAGTCTTGCTCAAGCTGCCAAAGTCTTGGACCTGCTGAGCAGCCTCCAGGAAGCAGCATCCCTCACTGCAGCCCTCCAGGACCCCCGTCAGGCTGTTTAAGCAGGCCACAGGAGCCAGCTGCTTAAGCTGCGGCTTAAACTGCGGACAAACACTGCGGAAGAGACTGTGTTGGTGTAGCCCACGCTGTGTTCGAAGTCACCAGGAAGATTAAACGACAGCTTCGAGCTTGCTCCACCGAGAACAACGTCCTCTTGCCAAGCAGGTCCCGTATCGGAATGCTCTGGGGCGCGTGGCAGCGCTGCAGCGCCTCCTGATCCCCTCCCGTCATGATTTCACTTCTCCTGGTGTCAAGGCAGCGGTGGCTCCCCGTTTTCCCGAGGGGAAGGCGAGCGGGACAGCTAGTCACGGTCACTATCGCTGTCACTGTCACTATCGCTGCTGTCGCTGTCTGACTTGATGCTCTCCAGTGTTTTCCTGCAGATGTGAAACAGGGCAGTGATCAGTCACCTGTTGTGACTTTTCCTTGAAAAGAGATACTCAAAACACAGGGTAAACCCCCTCTAAGGGACCAGGATGGGCTGTCTGCTGGCTACCATCCTCAAAGGACAGGCCCACCCAGCATGTGGCGGAAGCACACCCATCTCCTTTTGGCAGAGCAGACTAGTTACCCAGGAAGCAGTGGGCCAACCGTCAAGGTTGCTGCAACTTCTATTTATTCACTCGCTGGTTCCAAACTGTGGTCCCTCAAGGGTAAGGCCGTTCTCTGAGCTTGGCTGCAGCAGCTCGTGGTGGCTGGTGAGATGTACTGAAGGTTGACCATGAACCTCAGAACCCACGAACCACGTGCAGGGCCATCCCGTACCACCTCCCTGCTTTTACTACCCTGAAATCGGTGTCTTTTGGGTGGTCAGACCCAGTTAGGAAGAGATTCTGGGAAAGACAGGTGATAGAAGATCTGAGCGGTGGGGCTAAGGCTAACCCCATCGTGGACAGTCCACCTTCCCTCCTAGGTGGCATGGACACAGCAGGGGAGCAGAACCTGAGGGGCCGTTTTGGGGCTGGGAATTGACCAGAGTCAACACAAAGGCACATCCTTCTGAAGCCGGTTCTCTTGACGCCTTGGCGGAAAAACCTTTCCACAGGAATTACCCCTCCCCAACACCCTCTCTACTATACCGCCCCCCACCCAGTAACACGAAGTACTCCAACTTACTTCTGCTTTTCAGAGAGTTCAAATTCCTTCTCCGTTCTGCTTTTAAGCCTTTGAGATGAAGGAAGACCGAGGGACACCGCCAGCTTTACCAGCTTAATTGCCTCATCTGGGCAATTGGTTTGTTTAGCACAGTTCAAGAACTCGTCCATCACCTGGTCACTGCAAAAGCAAAGGCCAAGAGCGACTGTTCACAGGGCCCCAGCTGAGGTGGCCATTAACTTACAGCAGGTGCTTTAGAGAGGGAGAGGAGGTCACAGATTTTTCAGATCACTCAGCCAGCCCAGTTCTGCCTCTGCCAGGAACCTCACCTCAGCCTTCACCCCGTACCCATGGGAACGCCCATGCCGGCAGAAAGCACTGCTTCTCCTTGCGCAAAACCAGAGGGCAGCAGCTGACTGCTCGGGTAAGGACACCGCCTTAGCAGCAGCCTAAACAGCCTTCCCCTCTTTACAGGCCCCACATCAGGCCCTCACCCCCTTTTACGTGGCTGGCAGAGGAAACGGAGCAGCCTGACAGCGCCCTACACCAAAGGCAGCGTCTGTGGGCACCCGGAGCCAGCCGGCTCTGCTCCGCCAGCTCCGTTCCACGTCAGCGTGCTGGCTCTGCTCCTCCGTCACCTGCGGCAGCTGCTGGAGACACCTCTGGTGCCTTTAGGCAGGGAATTGAGCGCGTGCAGCTGGGGCCGCAGGGAGCTTGGCAGAGACAGCTCAGCCGGGAAAGCCTCTGACCCATCTGGGAACAGCAGGGACGCCACTTGCTTTCTCATTGCCTTCATGACTCACGGCAGCCACAAACCATCAGCCACACCATGATTCCAGGAGAATTCTTCTCCTTTCCCTGTGCCCTGACGGGAATTATGCAGCTTGGCAGCGTCAAGGCTTCTCTGGGCTGCGCTAGAGGCTCTCTGCAGAACAGGGCAAGCACAGCGTGCCACCAGCAGCGGCCTCTGGTACCACAGCCCCTCGCTGGCGCAGGCAGCCAGAGAACATATTGTGCATCTCGGTGAAATTCCCATCTCCAACACTGGATTTAAGGTGTTCACCCCTGGGAGCACCAAGCAGTTGTTTAGGGGTTTTTTTTGGTTTGTTTTTTTAAAAATGCAGTACTAGTCCTTAAAAGTTGTTTACTACTTCAAACAGATTTTTTTCCTCCAAAATCCTGAGAAAAACTAACTGTTGTAGCCTAACAGGGTATCACATAAGATTTAGGATTTGACCTGGTAAACTTGTCTTCAGAAACCCGGACACCTCTGAAGCACCTGCACTTGGTTAACAGCATGTCGGAGTTTTTCTGAGCACACAGGAAATGGGATGTTCTCAGAAGTCCTGCTTCAAGCCATTTCTAATGCCGAGGTCAACAGTGCCAATGTTCTCCACGTCCCAGAGCTTCACTGAGTGACAGCTCAAGGATCAACCACTTAAACCCCTCCCTTTGCATTTTCCACATTTTTTTGAGACAGAAAGGTCTTGGAACGTAGCAGTTGGATAAACCAACGCCCGTGCTCGCAGGGACAGACACACACACTCATGCTTCGGAAACAGCAGTAAGATACGGACCGCTACTGTTCGTTAGAATTGGGGGCTGGACTACATGACCTTTAAAGGTCCCTTCCAACCCAAATATTCTATGATTCTATAACAGATCTCAGCCAAAGGGGAGACTCAGTACCTGAAGTCAGAACCTGAAAGTACTCACGTGGGAATCCTATTGATTTGCTGGAAATGCTCCATCATGTTCCTGTTCAAAAGAAAACACAATAATAATTAAGAAAAAACCCAATCACAAAACAGAGGAACAGTCAGATATTAAATCTCTTGGCTAAGCCCCTGCTGAAACACAGGCAAGCCCAATTTCACGAAACAATCTTCCCCACAGGTCTGAAAGAGGTCCCACGCCGTATTCTCACAGATGCAACGTGTACCAGTTGACATCGTTGATGAGTTCAACAGAAAGCATCTGAACTAGCACAGAAAGTGTAGCTGGTGGCAAGTTTACTTTAAAATGTTACGTGTTTTCAGAAGGGTACTTGCCACTTCTTTGTTTCAGATGAATCAGTGCAAAGAGAACATCTGTATTTAACAGAAAACAGCTCAGGACCTTGAATTGGAGCCTAGATACGTCAAGTTGAGAGCGTGTGGGACAGTAAATTCTAGCTACCGGAGAGTTCTAAAAATATTCTCTTTAGAGTTTTAATTAGGGTTAATTCTAATTAAAAGTTTAATTAAACTCTAATTAATCTCTTCAGCAGTTTGAATTCCGAAGAGTTCTAAAAATTAGAAACTGGGCAGCTGTAGGAAACCAGCAGTGCTTGGCGAAGTGCTCACCAAGCCCTCCACTGCCAGCAGCAGCTGCATGATGCTCCCAGCCAGTTGCTACATTCACTTCTCAACCGTTTTTAAGACAGACAAACTGCAACTTGGTGCCACGAATGAACAACCAAATTAAGAACAAACCCATCACGTTCCCAGCAGGATTTATCCCCTCCCTTGATC